ACATAGTGCCAAGCTCGCCAAGGTAGCGCCGCCGCCGCAGAAGGACAGAGTAACTTCTCCTATATTCGCCGACCAAATCAGTGGATCCATCTTCAATCGCTGGAACGGGAAGCCTTATTCTCAAAAGTTCCACGATATACTCGACAAGAGGAAGACCCTCCCGGTTTGGCAACACAAGGAGGAGATATTGTCCGCCTTGAAGGAAAACCAAGTCCACGTCCTGGTCGGTGAGACCATAAGCGGCAAAACAATGCAAATTCCACAATTCGTCTTGGAGATGATGGTGGCAGAAGCAACCTCAAATGACGACAAGAGAAGGAATATGATGGTTGGATGCACTCAGCCTCGTCGAGTGGCGGCAATGTCCGTGTCCCAAAGAGTGGCCGAAGAGATGGATGTCACGATGGGTGAAGAAGTCGGCTACACCATCTGTTTTGAAGACAAGAGCAGCCCTAAAATAGTGTTGAAGTACTTAACTAACGGCATGATTTTGAGGGAAGCCATGACCGATCCGCTGCTGAAAAGCTACAGCACCATCATTCTCGACGAGGCCCACGAGAGGATCGTGGCAACTGACATCTTGTTCGGGCTCCTCAAATAGGTGTTGAGGAACAGACCGGATCTGAAGCTGGTGGTGATGAGTGCAACGCTGGAGGCTGACAAGTTCCAGGGCTATTTCGACGGCGGGGCTCCTCTCATCAAAGTCCCCGGCAAGCTCCACGATGTGGAGGTCTTCTACACCGCGGAGAGCCAGAGAGACTACGTTGAATCGACAATTCAGACAGTCGTTCATGTACATACGCATGAAGGACCTGGAGATGTATCGTTGTTCTTGACAGGCGAGGAAGAGATTGAGGATGCTTGCAGAAACATTGCCAAGGAGATGGGGGAATTTGGGGGACCAGGTTGGTCCCGTCACAATCATCCCTTTATACTCGACTCTACCTCTAGCCCTGCAGCACAAGGTCTTTGAACCTTCTCCCGGGACGAGGAAAATCGTGGTATCGACCAACATTGCTGAGACTTCACTCACAATCGACGACATTGTCTACGTGGTCAATCCACGTTTTGTCAAGAGGAAAGTCTATGATCCTCGCGTTGGAGCGGAGTCACTTCAGCTGACCCCTATCTCCAAGGCTAGTGTAGAGCAGAGGAAGGGTCGAGCAGGGAGGATGGCCCAAGGGAAGTGCTACAGGTTGTACACTGAGAAGAGTTTTGACAAGGATCTACAACCGCAGACTGATCCTGAGATAGTTAGATCTAATTTAGGGTCTATTTTTATGACGATGAAGAAGCTGGGGGTACATGACCTGGTGCACTTTGATTACATGGACCCACCTGCCCCAAGACGTTGTAGCGAGCTTTGGAGATGCTGTACTACTTGGGAGCAATGGATGATGAGGGGAACTTGACTAGGCTCGGGGAGATCATGAGTGAGTTTCCATTGGATCCTCAGACGAAAAAGGCACTGATTGTTAGTCCAGAGTTCAATTGCTCAAATGAGATCATGTCCATTTGTGCTATGTTATCAGTTCCCAATTGCTTTGTCCGTCTCCCCAAGGGGAGGCTCGAAGGAAGGTTGCCGATGAAGCCAAAGCTCGATTTGCACACATCGACGGAGATCACCTTACTCTGCTCAACATGTACCATGCATTCAAGCTGAACAACGAGGACCCTTTATGTTGCTATGAGAATTTCATCAACTACAAAGCCATGAAGTCTGCGGACAACGTTAGGCAGCAGCTCGTGTGGATCATATCGAGGTATAACCTCAGGATGTGCAACACTAAATTCAGCAGCAGGGATTACTACGTCAATATAAGGAAGGCGATACTGGCAGGATGTTTTATGCAAGTGGCTCATCTGGAACGAAGCACCGGACACTACCTGACCGTCAAAGACAACCAAGTCGTGCACTTACATCCGTCTACTTGTCTGGATCATAACCCTGAGTGGGTGGTTTACAATGAATGTGTTGTGACTAGCAGGAGTTTCATCCGGATGACCACAGAGATTAGCGGCGAGTGGCTTGTAGACATTGCTCCTCACTACTGCAATATGGAGAACTTCCCCGAGTGCGAAGCCAAGCTGGTTCTAAAGACGTTGTACAAGAAGCGGGATAGGGAGATGGAGAAGAGCAAGAACAGAAGATGAGATGCTGCCCTCCACATCCAGTCTTCCATGATTCAGAAACATGAAGTAGTAGTTCTGTACAAACCTTAAAAGGTGTTGAGAAATGTAGTTACTATGCTTTGATTGAGTACTGCATAAATATGAGCTGTATCTATATTGTAAGCATGAGATAAGGAAAAAAGGCATCCATCAGAATCTAATAGTTGCAAACTAATACTTTACTGACCATAGCGAGCCATCATATCCAATGTAAAAGAAAGCAGCCACCTGCTGTCTGCTGTTGTATCTCGGATGCTATTACAAGTCTGATTAAAAAAGGATTCACAAAGCATCTTTAGAAAGATTTCAAGTGAGAAGTAGAGATGAGAGTTGCATATACAAGAGTTCAAATTACCAGGCAAAGCTTTCCTTCCAATGTGCGATTGATGGGAATCTTATCATAAGGTATTTGCACAACATCAGGGACGAGAGAGTAGTGAAGCAACTGGCTGCCCTCTTTCGATCTTCCTCTTCCTCACAAATCTACAACACTAAGTTCAAACAATTTCAATCTCCACACAAACGAATCACACAACAACGACTCTAATAAGAAGCCAACATCGCCATTATCACAGAAATTCACGAGAATTCACCAATTTGCTCACCTAATCATACAAAATTGAGGAAGAGATTGGGAAGTTTGGGGAACCTGTTGATGGAGAAATTTTCGAGTTGGGGGAGAAGAGCGAGCGCGAGAGACAAGTCAATGGCAGATGGATTCCGCTCTGATGCGTCGACTATCCATCTTTTCGCTCCTTTTTCCATTTTCGTTCTAGTACCATCAATTATGAGCTCTGTCGATCGACCGACCGGTAAATGGACTGTCGCCTATTGGCGTACACTAGGAGAAAAAGGAGTGTGGTCGGCGGCCGGCGGCAAGCCGGAGATGAAACCCAAAATCTGACGTGTTTCTAGTCGATGCGGGATCGGCAGGCCTCTAAGCCCAATACGCATTGACAAATGACAAGCCTCACCTTGAGCCCAAAAGTCCAATTGTTGATATACTTACGGGCTTTCATAATTTGTTTGAATTTCAATCCATCAGGCCCAACCTTGCCAGTTGCCACGCACCTTTCAATCATGGATGTAGTTAGGGATCAACAATCAAATTCGCAACCGCAACTACTCGACCGCTTTCGATCCAGTTAACGTTAAGGTGGGCAAGCTATGTGGTCGAACCGTATCTCATCACTTTAACATATACGGTATCACGTGTGAGTTGGACCACATTGAATATTTGACCTCAATTTAATTGATGCGATCAAATCACATCTCATTGGTATTGTGGTTTGGTGCAATTTAGACAACAATCGATATGGGCTAGGTATGATTGGATTGACAATATGTTCAATTTCTACATTCAGACCCATAATTCATATCACGATTTGCAATATATAGAAGTTTCTTAATAGTATGAATAACAAAAAGTGAGACTTTCTGAATAGAAGTTTCTCAATTCAGATCACTAAGAATCCCAATCCTTAATGTTGTTCAATTTTCTTCTTAATCAAATCTAAATTTCTTTCTAAAATCTATCCTACTACGTTAATCTCGGATACCAAGATCTGTCCCTAGCACAAATAGGCACACTTTAACAACTAGCAACTACACGTACAAAATGATGTGACTTTGAGGTTTAGATTGCAATTTGATGTATTGATAAAATGTATGAATTTGAAAAATACTTTTTTTGGAGGTTTAGATTGTGATTTGTTAAGAATAAGAAAATAGAGGGTAGACAATCCTTTGATCACAATCTCACCTTTTGGTAGAGATTGATAATCACTCATTTTGAGTGATTGTATGTGGGTCCAGAAAAAGATAATACATGTATTCTGTTACAAATTTAATTAAAAAACAGATTTAATCTTGACATTACATGCATTAGCTAAATATATGGCTCGAAATCCCAACTTCCAAACTAGCCTAAGATTCTAGGATCCGTACTTACCATCGATTGCATTCATTCACTCAATGGGTCAAGAAAGGCCCAAAAGAGTAGCTTGAGAATAAACAAATGAGTACATCAATCACCTCAATCGGCTCAAGCTTATATTTTTCAAACACAAACTGGTTTCTACATGGGGATGAAAGTTTGGTTTGCGGCACTAGTTAATCACACTCACAATTTCTAGATAGTATATTAGGTGTGATTAGTAAAATTTTGAATTTTGTAGTTAATGGTTACGGTTAGTCTACAAAACCCACTATAACCACATTTCTATAACAAAATTTTCCTCCAGCATTAAGACTACTGTACTTATTAATAATATTGTATAATAAAAAGAGTAAGGAAGAATTTCATAAAAATCCAAAATAACTGATTATCAAAATGAAAAATTATAGCATACCGACTCCAGGATTAATTTGTATTTTGTAAAACAAAACTTTTCGTCTATTTCTTCTCTTCAACACAAAAGCTGAATACCGAACTCAATAAGATAAAATCCTCCACAATGAGTAAGATATACCCAATCATATCTCCACCAACAACACACGAGTGTATCATTATAGTCTAGTTGTGAATCACGGATTTGTTGGTGGCCGTATAGCTCTACGCCCGCAAAGATGAGTTTTCATGGATAATCACAATCAACTAGCACCAAACCACAATGAATAGTGGTAACTCACTAACCACTCTGATGTAATTTATAGTTAACATAATTCAAACTTTTGTGAATGTGATTAACTACATGAGTAACCCAACCCGCACCGATTTCCACTCCTATTTCTAATAATACCATAAAGGGCATACCAAGATCACCACACAACATCCACCCTTTAGCTTATTGAACGACACTTAAAGTTAACCATAATCCTTCCAACAAAGAATCTAGAAATTTTCATTGCACTTGAAGCTTGGATACGAAAATACTAGGGAAAACAAGAAGGGTGGGAAAGACCATAAACCCTCCGATTACTTATGAACAACCAAAGAAAGAAAGAATCAACGTCACAAAGGCCACCGCACACAATCAATAGACACACCCATCATAATCATTTACATTCGGTAGGAAATCCCAGCGGGAATCGCTTCATATCGGTGCAGTAATCATATATCATGAAGTTCTTCTGCACCCATCTCAGCCTCCTCCTGGCATTCGCATCCAGCGCGTTCGACTGCCAGTCTCCATTCGCAAACGCGCCACGAGACGAGGAAGAAGAAACATGGGTGACCTGGAAGTTTCTGTAGTAAGCAGTGAATGGCTCCTTAGACCAATCTATCCGCCTTCACCAATCCTCCTCGCGTCGCCCAATCGTCCGCATTCCACAAGCTTGAGTAAATCCTCATCGCCTGGTTCTTGGGGAATGGAACTCCCCTGTTCTCGGCATTATTGAATTGAATACCCTGATCGGGGTGTTGTTCACCAAGAATCTGCATATAATAATGTTTAGCCTTGGTCAAACTCTAGCCGAACGCATCCGCCTCCACTAGTTATCATTAGTTTAAGGACGTTAATGGCGCAAAACGTTAGTCGTTTTAGCCGCTTACATAATGTGTTGAGGCTTCCAGATGATTGAGTAGGTGTGGAAGTTCTTGGTGGGATCGAACCAAAGGTAAAACTGTTGCTCTCTGTTTCCTTTTCCCTGAGTGAACACATTGGTGTGGAGTATATATGGATCTCCGCTCACATTCCTCAGAAACTCGAAGTCAATTTCATCATGAGTGCGACCTTGAGACGACAACTGCATGGCACAAAGAAGAGATTATTAGCGCATAGAGAAGAAGAAAAACGTACACTTTTTTGTATGAGCCAAGTAAAGCTAAGAACAGAGCTCCCCTGTTTCCCTCTGTTTCCATAAGAGATTTTTTTTTTTTGCTTTTTTGGGGGCAGAAGTTGAAGGATTGGCTTACGTAATAGGCAGTGACGGTGCCAGCGGAGTTGCCGGCGACGAGCTTGAGCTGCATATCAATCCGGCCGAACAAGTACTCCTTCTTGGACTGAAACCCAGAGCCATAAGTCTTGTCGAGAGACAGGGACAGCATCTGGCCGCCGCCGAATATCTTGGCCCTCTGCCCTCCCCACTTCAAATCGAAGTCCTGGTAGAAGTTGCTGCCATAGGCAACTCCCATCAACACGGCCAGTTCCACCATACAAATTGCCAGTTTTTGCCCCGAGGAAAGGGAAAACCTGCCCATTTTGTTTTGATTTGATTTTTACTTCCCTTCCGTTTCTCTACTGGTTTGTGTTTTGAGATGTGAAGAAGGATTGAAGAGATGGGTCTATATATACACAGGAAGGGAAGGGAAATGAAATGAAATGTGAAGAAGAATAGAAGATACGCGTGATGGTGGCGCGGGGTAAGGGCCCTGCATGGAGTTTAGGTTTTGTGGATGGTGAAGAACAGAGGAGCTGGTGCTAGCTAGTTTATTTGGCACTCCTGACCAACCATATAGCTGGTTTTTGAATATTGCACTTTTGTTTGGACATGGCAGGAATGGGGATGCATGGGTAGCTCAATTGAGTCGTAAAGAAGAAACGGTAATGACTCTCACAGTTGTAGTAAATGTGGTTGTTGCTATTATTTTAATGTAGGTTATTTGTACCCGATTGGAAGTTATCTGGTTTTATTGTCCGACATAAAGTGCATGTGATTATACAATATACCTTCTCAATGTGTATGATTTGTATTGTATCAAATATAGTGAAATTTTTCTCTTTTTCTCGTGGAAGTAGACAACATCCATCGACCATCGTACTAGTGAACCATATAATTTTAAATGTTCTTTACTTTCTTGCATTTTCGATTTCTTAAATCAATTCTAATAGTACTTTTGTTCATAACTTTTTTTGCGCATTTTCAAATTAAAAATCACCAAGAACATGGGGTTTTATATAGCTTATTATAACCTTATTTCCTCTCCGTGTACTTTTTTGTTGGAGCTCCTTCTACAAATGAAAAAAGAAATGCCACCCATGAACAAGAACAATGAACTGAACACCAACTAGGAAGAAACCCACTTATTAGGGACTATTAACTTTTGAGTTGGAAACTTTCTAGTCATTGTCATTTTTGTCATTAGCAGCTTTTGAGTAATTGTCTTATAATTAGAGTAAAGCTAAGTAAATAGGGTTAAGTTAGTGCCTGGTGGAGAAGAAACAATGCTCAGAATTATATATATACTATTAGGGTGATATATGATCAACGATTGCAGGGGCGGAGCCAGGATTTTGAATTGGGGGCGGAAATGTTTCGTATATTATCGTAACTAGACAAAAAAAAATCAAAATAAATATGTAACTATATAAATAAATTGATTATGTGAATTATCAAAATGTACCAAATTACCAATCCATTAAAGCTATAAAATTGTAAAAAACTTCAACCGGAAAACTGACATAACTAGGGATTGAACCCGTGATCAATAGGATACGGAACCACTACAACTTCAGTAGCGTAAACGGCTTCTTTCGATTCCTTTTTACACGCGGCCGTTATTATATTGCTACGTAATTCTCAGAGTACTCCTACATTCTTTTGTGATTTTTCGAAATTCTCCCGGGGGGGGGGGGGGGGATGTTTAGTTCCGCCCCTAAACGATTGAACCTTTCTCAACAACTCGAGTTATTAAGATCAACTGGTTCTTAATATGGTAGCCGAGAGGTCTTCTGTTCGAATCCTGGTAAACCCCATTTGTCAAATACATGGTATTCGGAATTGTGTAAACTTCAACCTCTTATGAGTGTCTTTCGGTTGAGGGGAGGTATTAGTGTGTGGCATATGATCCACGATTAAACATCTCCCAACAACTCGAGTTATTGACTTATTGGGATAAGTGCTTCTTAACATATACATTCATCAAAACCACAACTTTCAAGAATGCATAACTCCCAAGAAGAATATAACCACATAATTATAAAAAAATGGCTAACACACCTTCTTAAACCAAATCCACTCATATATATTTGAAATGCATAACTCCCAAGAAGAATATAACCACATAAAAAAAATGGCTAACACACCCTTTTAAACCAAATCCACTCATATGTATTTGAAATTTGCTCAAACATTAGACACATGCTTAACAATTAAGGGGTTATTGGAGTTTGAACTGAAGATTTCGATTACAAAAGGCTATGATATCATATAATTAAATCTCTATGTAACAAATGATCATGAAATTTGTACTCCTGTTTACACCGCAACTCCCCTACCGAAAGCATGTATAACGACACAGAACAGAAGTACTACGCATCCAGGTTATGAAGTCAAATTGAGACACAGCTAGCTAGCTGTTTAGATTTGGAAGTTTATGATGGCGTATGGTTGAGTTGAGGTATTTGTTAACCAAAGGCACATTAGGGCAATGCTTTTAAAGCATGGCCTTCCTCTTCCGCTCCATTCCATATATCTCGATGGATCATCTCCTTTAATTTAGTCTGGGGGAACTACTTTTCAACACAAGCCTCCAAAAAACTTGTGCAGCTAGCTAGCTTGATCCAGTTAGTACACACTACAGGAAAAGTGACTTTATGCAACACTCGTTCTGTAACACTTTTTAAAAGTGTCACATAAAATAGATATAGGCAACACTTTCATTTTGTGTTGCCTCATATATATCTTATGCAACACAAATTAGCCGCACGATAATTTTTGTTACATATTGTTAATAATATGCAACATTTGTACAATAAGATAACTTGTGTTATATATTCTTATATTTTAGGCAAAATTTAATAAAAATGTTACATATTGTACAAATTTGATATTTAGTATTAATTAGATATATGAATTTCACACTAAAATTGAAGAACGTAAATGGACCTTTGTGCCCATAACTCTTCAGCCCATAACATTTTCTTTTCTTCCTTCCCCAGTAATTATGAGTGCAAAGCGATACAATATTAATACATCAGATCATCCATATGTTTCGTGAAGTATTAATCATAAGATATCATTAGTGAGTAAGACAATCAACTACAATTAAAACTAGAACAATACCCGTCTAATGGTAACTGTTTAAGCCTGGAAGGTACTCGGCGAATTGAATAATGAATGACTACTTTCGCTAAGATCTTGCCTCCTGTCGGACACGTGGCGGTGACCTTGACCCTACAACAATGGTCCGGAGGCAAGGGCCTCGGACACCCTCCAAAGAGCAAGTTAGAACATATTTTAAAGAAAGAAAGTAGAGAGAGATTGGGGTAGGTCAGTTACCATTAAATGATGTGGTTGAATAGTATTTATAGCCAATGGTCATTTGTACGAGCATTTAATGCTCTGATATGCGTGTTCTAGGAATCAACTTCTCGAGGCCATGCTCGTGGTCGCATTTAATGCTATGTCAGTAGCTACATAATTAGCACTCCGGCTTTCCTATCAAACGTACTTTCCTATAACCCGAAATCAAAGCTTTCGACCGGGCCCCCGATAAGTACAACAAACTCAAGCCTGACACTGTATTAATAAGCATCTGGAATCATAACTTGCCCACCGAATGGAAGTATGCATCTCCGTCTCTGAATGTGAGGGCGGGAACGCGTCACATGGGCTGGATTACCATCTACAGAGAGCAGTTAAAACTGGGTATACGCTTCGCATTTGATCCTATCATTACTCAGACGCTCTTGTGCCTGGGTTGCACTTTTGGGCGTTTATCGCCCTCGGTTATATTCCATGTATGCGCTTACCGTCTTGCATGCCAGATGATCAATGCAGAATCCTCTTTTAACGCCTTCCGCTTTATATATGGCTTCCGACGTGTTTTGAATATTTGGTCTTTTGAAAGGCGGGAAAAGACGTACGGGTTTGTGACTGGTGCTCCAAAGCTTGATTCTTCTTGGTTCAAGAACTTTGTCTATGCAAAACCGACTGGTAAATGATATTCTGGTGACAAGGAATCAAATAGGGGTTTCGCCTACGACATAAAAGAAAATTGGGATGTGAGGATGTGGGCCTTGGGCTGCAAAGACACCACGTCATGAGTATTGTTGAGCGATCTCCATTTAACGTGACGCCTACTGGCCCCAATTATATGGGTGCCATTCTGACTGAACTCTTCGGAGATGGTTAGTGATATTTCTTGACTTTATTCTTAATTGAGCATTTTGTTGGTAACTAACCATTCTTTCCTTTTGTAGCGATGAATTTCGAGGACGTGGCCCTGCTTACGAGGCCTCCAAGGGGTTCTAAGCTCAGCAATCCCAAAGATGGAAGCACCTCCACTCCAAATGTTAAGTTGGGTTCTTCATCCTCCGGTGTCGCGACCGCCAAAGCCATGGTTCGTTTGACCAAGTCCTCCACAATTCCAGGACATGATACTCTTGCTAGCGGGGTTGATGAGGGTGAATACCGGGGGCGAGTTAGTGTGGTAGAGCAGCGATACTAGGAAGCTCCACATGGAGGCTATTGTAGATGAGACAGAAGAGAAACGGAAGCGGTTGAAACCGACCGCGATCAGTGAGACCGTTGCATTTTCCCCGCATTCCTTCTTTGCAGAAGATTGTGCTAGACAGATGTTTCATGAGTTGTCGGGAAAGCTCATTGTGCCCCTGGAGTACACAAAGATTGCTTATACCACTTCAAGGCACTGGGTTGGGAATACCACCCACTTTCTGCTTGCTATGAGTAGCTTATTCTGGCTTTGGTTTGTAATTTATCTCATATACGCATCATAATGTTAAGCGGTTTTTGCAAGCTGGAGTTGGTCTTCCTCAGATTAGGATGATCAACGAGAAGCTCTGGAAATTTAATCTCCAGAGCACCACTGATATGGAGAAGCTCCGCAAGCGGATTGGCGAGTTTGAAGCGGAGTCTATAAAGGGTCGTGTTGAGTTCCAAGTGGAAGCGAAAGCAGAGCTGGAGAAGGAGCATGTAGAGATGATACGTGAGATGCGTGCAGAGATGACCCGAGGCATGGAAAAGGTGAATAGCTTGATGGCCGACAAGAAAATCCTGACAACGAAATTCTCCAAGTGTCGTAAAAAGATTGAGGAGTTAGAAGCGGAGAAAAGGGAGACTGCCTTGCGGCACCAAACTGAGACTGATGCTGCCACCAAGTCCGTGGTTGCAAACTATATGCTTTATCCTGCTTTCCAGGTGATCGATCAGGCCACACATTCCAGAGTTACGGCCGACACGGTGGCTTCCATCCGTCATCTGTTCCCCCGTGAGCACTCGGATCTTGAATGAGATACCTATCTGGTGTGGGATGTGGTCCAAGCATGGGGCAAGTCGGAGAGTGATGTGAACTCAGAGCAAAGTTCGATTGCTGCTACCGCGGGAGGCAATGGGGCTATGTCTCAGCTTGGTGGTGTGTAAAGAGGTGTTTTTAGCCCCCCCCCCCCCCACCATTTGTTAAGTGGCGTAGTAATTTTCCTAAAAATATATGTTGCACTGTGAACAATAATTTGTGGTCCATGAGCGGGCCTGTTTATTTATGTCTCTTTCTTTAATGTGTGTCTGTTTTCTTAATCGCCAAGCCTGAATTTAAACTATGTTTTCGAAATGTGTTTACATCAGTGTCCACAGACGACTTGCTGTGCGTTTAGTCGGACTCGCTCTGCCTTCGGTATGGCATTTTATGAGCGAGAATCTTGTCCTGGAGGGCGTTCCGCGAGCAAGTTGTTCTACCTTCAAGGTGGCGTGTTATGAACAAGACATGTCCCGGGGTGCATTTTGGTCAGACTCGCTTTGCCTTCAGGTTGGGGTTTTAAGTTTGAGACCCTTGTCCCGTAGGATGTTCCCCGCACGGGTTGTTCTTCCTTCGGGGTGGCATGTTATGAACAAACCATGCACCCGGATGCGCTTTGGTCGGACTCGCTCTGCATTCGAGGTGGCGTTTTATAAGTGAGATCCTTGCCCATATCCCGGGATCCGTTTTTTAGTCGGACTCGCTCTACCTTCGGGGTGGCATTTTATGAGCGAGATCCTTGCCCCAGAGTGCGTTCCGCGGGTGGGTTGTTTTGCCTTCGGGGTGGCGTGTTATGAACAACCCATGCCCCGAGATGATTTTTAGTCGGACTCGCTTGGCCTTGGGGGTGACGTTATATGAGCGAGAGCCTTGATCTTGAGGGCGTTTCGTGGGCGGGTTGTAATGCCCTCGTGGTGGCATATTATGAACAACCCATGCCCCAGGATGCGTTTTGGTCGGACTCGCACTGCCTTCAGGGTGACGTTTTATGAGCAAGATCCTTGCACGGAGGGCGTTCCGTTGCGGGTTGTTCTGCCCTCGAGGTGGCATTTTATGAACAATCTATGCCCCAGGATGTATTTTGGTCAGACTCACTTTACCTTCGTGGTGGCTTTTTAAGAGCGAGATCCTTGCCCTGGAGGGCATTCCGCGGGTAGCTTGTTCTGCATTCGGGGTGTCATATTAAGAGCAACCCATGCCTCATGACCGTGATGCGTTTTGGTCGGACTCGCTCTGCCTCCGGGGCGTCATTTTATTAGCGAGATACTTGCCCCGGAGTTCATGTCGCGAGCGGGTGTTTCTGCATTCGGGGTGGCGTGTTATGAACAACCCATGTCCCGGGATGCGTTTTGGTCAGACTCGCTCTACCTTTGGGATGACATTTTATGAGCGAGATCCTTGCCTCAGAGGACATTCCGTGGGCGAGTTGTTCTACCTTCGGTGTGGTGTGTTATGAACAACCCATGTCCCAAGATGCATTTTAGTCGTACTCGCTCTGCCTTCGGGACGATATTTTATGAGCGAGAGCCTTACCCCGGAGGGCGTTCCTCGGGTCGGTTGTTCTGCCTTCGGGGTGGTGTATTATGAACAACCCATGTCCTGAGATGCGTTTTAGTGGGACTTTCTCTGCCTTCGGGGTGGCGTTTTATGAGTGATATCATTGCTCTGGAGGGCGTTCCACTGATGGGTTGTTCTACCTTCGGGGTTGCGTGTTATGAACAACCAATTTCTCATGCTGTGTTTTGGTCGGACTCGCTCTACCTTTGTGGTGGAATAAGTTCCACGTCTTGCTAATGGGTTCCGCCCATGGTTTCCAAAGTATACGTGCTAGGACCTATCTGGCTGCTTATGAGATATGGTCCCTCCCAGTTTGTTGTCGGCTTTCCATGGCGTTCCTTCTCCTTCTTATCAAACATCCTTCTAAGTACCAGGTCGCCTTCAACTAATGGGTATGGTCTCACTTTGTCGTTGTATGCTTTCGCTACCTTCTCTTTCTCAGCGATGGTGCGTGTGAGAATTGTTTCTCACCTTTCCTCGATCAAATCCAGTTGGTGAAGAAGGTTGGCGTGGTTTGATTCTTGTTCTTACGTCCGGATCCGTAGCGTGGGGAGTTGAATCTCGGTTAGAACGACCACTTCACATCCGTATGTTAAAGTTAACGGCGTTTTGCCTGTAGCCATTATATATGTGGTGTGGTGCGCCCACAAGACGAGTGGCAACTCTCTGGTCCATGCCCCTTTGGCTTCCCCCAACCTTCTCTTCAATCCTCAGAGGATAAGCTTATTGGAAGACTCGATCTGGTCGTTGGCTTGCGAGAACACCATAGACACCATGTTGTTTTTTATGTCGTGATCCGCGCAAAAATTTTCAAATGGGCGGCAGTCAAACTTCGTTCTGTGATATGTTATGATAGACTCCGGGATCCCGAAGTGTATCATGATGTTGAGGAACATGAACTTCTGAACGCGAGTGCTTGTAATTGTCTCTAAAGGCTCCACTTCTATCCATTTAGTAAAGTAGTCGACAACTACAATCAGGTATTTCTTCCTTAGGGGCGCATTCAGAAACGGGCCTAACAGATCAAGTCCCCACCTTGATAATGGCCACGGGCTGGTTATTCCCCTCATTTCGGATGATGGATGGTGATGCTTGTTGGCGTGCGTCTGGAAGGCATAGCAAGCAGGTACTATTGTTAACATATACACCTTTATTGTTGGCCAGTAACCTCCTTGAAGGAGTATGATACTTTCTAGGCTCTGTGGTCTTATGTGCGTGGCATTCACCTGGACGCGTCCATTCCGTGCAGGATCTTTTCTAGCATAAGGTTTGAGAGAACTGTGATGGGATGATCATGGAAGTATGGGCAAAGCTTTCGAGCGGTCATTGCTACCGCGAGAAAACCTTCTCCACTGATAGGTACCTAGTTTCCGCAGGGAGGAGAGTCTTGTTGAAATAGTACACTGGATGGTCCCTACCATCCTCGCTTGATCTCCTTACTAACACGGAGCCTACTATCTGCGGCGAGACTTCTAGGTACAAAAAAAGGCGTTCACCTTCTACGAGGGTGATGAGAACAGGGGTCGTAGTCAACTGTTCCTTGCGGTGAACGAATGCTCCATTACATTTTTTGCTCCACTTGAAACACGAGGCGAGCTTCTTCAGAATTTGGAAAAATGGAGAACACGTATCTGGTGAGTGGGGAATGAACCTACTTAGCAGCCATTTTGCCATTGAATGCTTGAATTTCTTTTATTGTCTTTTGTAAAATCTAGAGGTTGTGGAAAATATAAAGAACACGAGTATTTACGTGGTTTTCCCGTGAATCGAGACTAGTCCACGTAGAGCATAGCTCTCAGGAGGGTTTTCACTATGATGAGTGTTTGAGGTACAGAACTCGGCAGACTTGCTTAGCATTATGGTTCGGCCAAGCAAGTTATTTATACCCTTCTTCTCTAATCACGGGTATAAACAAACCAAACTACAAAAGTGCTACAAAAAAACAAAAACTATACAATCAAGTCCAATACTGCCCCTCAAACTTACGCATGAAGGTCACGAATGCCAAGCTTGGACAATAAGGAGTGGAATTGCTCGGTTCCCAAGGCTTTGGTGAAGATGTCTGCAAGCTGGGAATGAGTACCGATCTTGCAAGGAGAGATTTTGCCGGGATTGACCCGCTCACGAACAAAGTAACAGGCCATCTCGACATGCTTAGTACGCTCATGGAACACCGGATTAGCTGCTATGTGGAGAACAACCTCATTGTCACAGTAAAGGGGAGTAGGAGCATGCTGAGGAGCCTGTAACTCACTGACACGACCATAACTCAAACCAAAACCGGTTACTCCGGAGCAACCCAAACCACATTTTGAAATAAACAACTGACATTATTTAAGAACTTTAAACGAGAAGCCCCAACACTTGGGCAAAATCTCAAACTCAAACACTTAAAACGACTTAACACAGAATCTCCAGTTTATACTAATAACCATGAAACAGAATAATTAACTAATCTAACTTGACTCCTCACGAGCTTTCCGAGATCCCGTCGACGCTGGTACCGCTGCTCGCCTCGCCCTGCTTCTTCTCGTGATCCACTTCTGTTAGACTATCCTCAACCTGGTGAGTGAGAAGGGGTCAATCTCGTCGTTACTTCCTAAGGTCTTTGCCCTAGGCAAACTCCTTACTAAACACATTATTAGGGTAATGCCTTCCTAGCATGAAAGCCGTTCTCGCTTTCTGCTCTTAAATAACCATTCTTATCAACTCATCTCAACATTAACTCATAAAAGTTCTCGACTTTTATCCTTATCTCAACACAAAACTCTAGGACCACCGCGTTACGTCTCGCCGTCCGGTGTCCTACCCTAGTATGCCAACCGCGTTACGTCTCGCCGCCCGGTTGCATACCCAAACTCAGCAATGGCACTGCGTTACGTCTCGCCGTCCAATCCATGCCCGTCAACTACTGCGTTACGTCTCGCCGGCCAGTAGTGACCCCAACATACTCAATCAACTGCTGCGTTACGTCTCGCCGTCCAGCAGTGATCCGACCATCTACCGCGTCCAGTAGTGGCCCAACCGCCCGGGGGTTCCTCTTGCCATTAACCAACAATTACAATAACCAACAATTACAATCATACATTCATACATAGCACAACGCGTGCCTCCACCCTTACAGGCGGTGGGATGCCTCACACACATATCACGCATTACTCAACAATTAACTAAATAAAAACTTGAATGAAAAGCATAAACTAAAAGACATTGACTGAGATATTACCCCCTTTACACTCACCTCAAATTCCTCGAAAACGACTCTGACTCCGCTCTGAAAATTCCATGAATCACTTCCATTAAATTCTCCTCGTTCCCACGATTCCATAGGCATTGACGGTTCCTCGATCGGATGTCAATTGATCGAGTTATGACCAAATAAACATTCTGTCAGTTTAAAAGTACCAGGTACCAAAACTGTAATTTTCTAGTCAACATAGTTGACCACGGCCTATCAGGAACAATTACAGATTTAATCCTCAAACTTTCGAATTATTAGGAAAGGTACCTGAACTTCACAGATTTGCGTCCAAACTTCCGAGCCTCGATTCTCCTTCGTCTGACGTCGGATTTTGATTTCGTTGACACTGTGATGATCCTGGGATCGTCCTCTTCACAGTGATACCCACCAATTGACGAATAGTTGGATTTAATTTTTCTGGTTTCTTTGGCGAGCTACGACGAAGTCCCGACGAACTCCGACGATTCTTATGACGACCCCTAAACTGGATTTTGGCTCCGTGGAACGATCTCACACCTTCTCCCGATCAAAACCAAACCCTAGAGTCCTTCCTTCTCCTCTCTTCCCTTTGTTTTTTTTTCCTGCCTCTGTCGTGAACAAAAGCAGGGGAGCGTGGGGCGGAAGAATGGTGGGGTGGGGGGGATTTATATATATGGGGAAGGGTGGAGGGTTTGGCCGCTCGGCCCCCTTCCCTTTTATATAAATATTTTTTTCTATTATAATAATAATAATTTATTATTATTATTATTATTATTCCTAGTCCGTTATTGCAATCCTTCGTACATAACCGTCAACCCAACCGTTCACGTATTAAAGTCGAACCTAAATCTAAATTATCGGGGTGTTACACTCAATGAGTAAGAAAAGCAACCACAGAACTTCGCTGGTGGTGCTAGCCATAGCACGATCTCCGCTTCAGCCGAAGTGCGAGCGACCACGCGTTGTTTCTTGGCATGCCAGAAGACGGGAGCACCCCCAAGATGAACATAATAACCAGTAGTAGAACGCCGACTAAACTGACAGCTGACCCAGTCTGCATCACTATAAGCTGTGAGGTCAAGAGGTCCTGTGGAGGGAAGAAACAGACCTTGACATGGAGCAGTCTTGAGATATCGGAGCACACGGTGAGCAGCTGCCATGTGATCAGGACTAGGAGACTGAACGAACTGACTGAGCAAGTTAACAAAGTAGGCGATATCTAGCCGAGTGATTGTGAGATAGAGCAGGCGGCCAATGAGGCGATGGTATGAGC